ATGAGTATTATGAACTACTACTTTTCTATTCTCGCTTTTATAGATTTTGCCCAACTTTATTCTTAAGTTAGTCAATATGTGTTTATATAGCATATATATATAGAAGGCAGAAATAGTTTACTGCAGTAATAATGTGGCTGCAATTGTGGTAAACGAACTGTTCATGAGAACTTGGAAATTTTGAGATAATTCACAATATTTCCTTAAGCATTTTCTTAGAGCTATTTGAAAACCCTGTCTTCTCTGAACATTTGCCCTAAACCCCCACACTTTCTGACTTTAAACTCAGTATCATTGCACCATTTGCATCTGAGAAAAGAACATTTTATAAGAACTCTCAACTAATTTCAAGTAACTTTAGCCACCACTTCCTCTCTCCCCTTCCCTTTTGCATCTTGCCCAAGTTTAAGTTTCCCTGGGTACAAAGGATTTTCACATCATGAATTTGGTTACTGCTATGTCATGAGCTATTATTCATGACATAAACTATTACTCTAAATGCCAATTTAAACAACTTTCCAATCCAAATCCAAGATATCAAAACCAAAATTATCTTACAAATAAGAAATTCTCAATAATTTGCCTTTTGTAGATCATTTCTTGAGGAAAACACAAAAAAAACCTGATAATATCTGTTGATTCTTAGAGAGATCTGGGGACCCAGGAAAATGGGGAGGAGAAAGACTTGCTTTTACTAAATATTGTTTTGAACCTTTTGAATTTTATACTATATAAATTGCCAATTCAAAATTTTTTTAATTTTTAAATAATAATTTGCATTTGAAAGTGTAAGACTACTATTTAGCACTCAATTAATGCTCCAAGCAGAAGGAAGGTGCAATCCTGTCTTTGCTCCTTCTTCCTGTTGGAAGGAGAGTGAATGTGATGGAAGGAACACTAACAGCCCTCTTGGGTCATGAGGTGGCACACTGTGGCACAGCAGAAGAGAATAAGTGTGTTGACTGCAGAGCTGCCACAGGCTTGAATAGTGTCCCTTTAGATTTCTTTTACAAAAGAAACATATCTAACTTTTTGAAGGCACTGATACTTTGTTGCTGTTTCTATTGTTGTATGCAGCCAAACCTACTTCTAATTAATATAAGTGGAATAGGCAATTTCTTATCTTCACAGCAACCACAATTTCTCAGTTTCTAAAAACAAGTACATTCTCAAGAGCTGCCTAACTACTCAAACACAGTAGGACATGCTGCCAAAAATGCCGATCTGGGTTTAAAATTAAAGACATTAAAATGATTTCACTAAGGCCAGTTCAATGTACACAGGAGTGAAGATTGTAAGCCAAACAAATAACTTTGACTTACTTATATTGCTTTTAAAGTCAAATAAAGGCACCAATTTTAGGTTAAGTGAAAGGCAAGTCCTTAGTCTCAGCTGATGAATCCAACAGGACTGGAGTCGTTGATTCAACATGGCTGAGATTTGTTTAAACTCTGCTATTCACAGGGTGGCCACGCCACAGCTGATGGCACGTCCAGTGGTGCAATCTGCGTTGCAGCTCTTTGTTCCAGAGCCCATAGATCAGAGGGTTAAAACACTGAGCAAAGGCAAAGATGCCAAAAAGCACCAGATTTAAGGCAAAGTAAAACAACCCACACGCTTTCCCCAAACCTATGAATATGAGAGTTGGTATTACATGTAAGCTTATCTGAACTAAATGAATAAGAATCGTTCTCCTTGCTTTGATATTTGACCTATTAAAATGGCCAGCACGTTTCCCTTCTTGGTATATCAGGGAGTAACTTACAAGAATGATAGACAACAGAAGGAAAAGGAAAACCATGCCAATGGCCCTGGCAGCAGTGCCATTCAAAATAACAGGGCAAAGGGGTTCGGATTTAAAAACAGAAACCACAGAGGGGTTAGTGCTCTCTATGAGGAATAAACAAACATTCTTGAGTATAACGGTTGCCCAAGTCCCAGCCAGAATCCTATACTTAACTGAATCGACAAAGGACAGAGATTTCAGCGGCCAGCAAATCACCACGTAAGTGTTGAGAGCCATCAAGGCCAGAGTGAAGAGAATCCCTTCTCCAACGCTCAGCTGTGCCCCGAACACCACCCAGCATATCAGCAGGGGGCTGTTGGCCAGCAGGGCCCGCATGCCTTGGAAAACAATCCCCAGGCCGCAGTAGGAAGAGATGCACAGCAGATGATGGCAAAGGAGGATGTATCGGGCCTCTCTCCGCAGGTTCAAGTTCTGTGACACTATGGCGATAACGAGGGCAGTGATGAACGTGGCGAAGGAGAAGGCAACCACGTAGACAGAGGCCTTGACTGTTGCCTCCAGCCTCAGCCAATCTGATATGTTGCAGTGCTCGGAAGACAAGTTCATGATCTTCGGGAGTAGCTTGGCTCCTGAGAGAGGAAAGAACAAGAAAGGGTGAATCCGTGTTAAAGTTTCTAGTGTGGTTTTTCAGCTCTCTGATCTTGTGTCCAGTCTCAAAGAACAGATTGCGTGTTCTTAGGTATAGAAGGTGACAATTTTAGTATAGCATTGATAGAGATCAAAGAAACTGGAGAAATCATCTTGGGCCTTCTTTTCATTTCAGGGGAGGGGCAGATATGCAAATCACCCAAAATGAAGGTTTGAAAGATGTACTCTTCGGTACTCAGCAAAAATTGCTTACATTCAGGTCAAGGTTTTACTGCTTCTGTATTCTTTTCCATCTTTGATTGTGAGAATTTCTTCAGTTCAGAGCACAAAGCACAACATTATCAGCCAACTGATTAACCACCAAGCACGTGTTAACACTTGCACATGCAAAGCTCCGGGAAAGAGCGAGGGCCAGAGCTGTGAGGGATGCAAGGAAGCCACTGACTGAGAGCCCTTCCACAGGACAGGGAAGGGAGATTAACAATTACAATGGCAATCCTGGTGACATTTACTGAGTACTTCTTGCAATCAAAAAATGTTTTCAAAGCATATTTCTCACTATCCCTGAGTATGTTTTATTTCTTGCCAAGTGGTTTATTATGAACTTTTCACAAATGGGGAAACTAAGATTTAGAGAGGCTAAATCACTTTCTCAAGGCCACATGGTTGTTGCACAGTGGAGCCAGTATTTGAATTTGGGAGTACGACTCCAGAGCCTGCACTCTCAACCACAACAAAGAAGCTTATGTCATATAAGAATAACATCTATTGGATGTTGGGCAGGGGGAAGGGGGGAGGGGGGAGGAGGGAGGAGGGGACGGGTATTTGTATACACAAAGAGTGCAATGCGCACCACCCGAAGGATGGACATATTTGAAACTCAGACTTAGGGGGAGAGGTGGGGAGCATGGGCAACATACGTAACCTAAACATCTGTACCCCCATAATATGCTGAAATTAAAAAAAAAAAAGAAGCTTATGTCAAATGCAAGACCAAGTGAATGCATTCTCTGAGTTCTCCTTTGGCCAGTTGCATTTGACCAGCCACTGGACTGAGTTTGTAGGAATATTGTTTCTGTTCTTAGGAAGCTAGAAGACTGAACATCTAGGAAGGTACTGGAATCTTGGGGTTGCCGAGGGAATGTGGCCCCCCAAATGCGAAGGCATGCACAGTGACCTCATAAAGCCTTCTCAAATGTGCATGGCAATGAACAGCACACTGTGTGGTAGCCTGGGAACCCCCAAATTATGGTGTCCTCATTGCTGCCATGAAAGTCTACAGTGGAAGTATCAACTATTACCTCCCTACCTGCACCCCTTCCACGGTGATGGGCCCTGTGTGGGGTACCTTGCTCCTTCCTCATGAACTGTAGCATCTCCTCCTCCCCATCAAAGGCAATGGACATCTGACTCATGGAAAACCATTCTGTAGATTGTGCCGAGTCGATCAGAGTCTGTCTCTTGAAAATCCAACCCAAGGCGCACAAAGTCTGTTGTCCGAGGCTGATATTGTATGACTGGCTTAAAGAAAGAGACAGAGAGAGGTAGGAAGAAGCACAGAGACGCAAGGCCACAAGGCCCCAGAGAAGGCCACAAAAGCCCTTACAAGACAAAGAGAAGAACCTTCACTCCTGCTTTTCTAATTCCACTGAAATGCCCTGCATTTTCTGTCCTTGGGTTCTGAAAATATAATACACATTCTATTATTTAAGTTAGCTTAAATGGGTTTCTAGTCCTTTATTCTGTCCTCTAGACTTCAAAATATATAAAATGGGCCCTTTACATATTTTTAAATTGATTTCCTAAAGGGCATGTCACAGTGGATATACAACTATCCCAACTTCCCAAGAATCTAAAATGCTGTAACTCCTCATGAAATCCCTCACTGAAGGTATAATTTTCCCCGCTGGGTATTGTGTTCTCACCCTTTGTGGAGAATGTTCTTTGTTCCGATGCATTTTTGAAGCCATTGTCATGCCTTTGAACTCCAGGCATTTATTTCCTCTTCTCTCCAGCTCTCCAGAGAGGAATTGAAGTTGTAATGGTCACTGTCACCATCAAAGGCATTGTTGAGCTTTCTTTGGGGGCAGACTTTCCAGTCAAAATCTTACTCAAGGACCCCTCAGCATTAAACAGAAAAAGGCATGTCTGTTCCCATTAAATGCCTCCTCCTCAATAGTTCACTCCCAGAGCACACCCCACAACTGCCCTCAGGCCACCGCTGTGGACACCGAGGGCTCCAGTGGAGTCTGTATGAGAACCCTGGCAAGTTGGAACAAACACTCTGGATTGGGGGGATCACAAGCACCGGGCTCTAAGCCTGGATCTGCTGCTGACAAGGACAGTGACTTCAGATATTGAAGTCACTTCACTCCTCTGGTCCTTGGTGCCTTACACTGCAGCCGTGCGGCACCAACACCCTTTCTCTCTTGATGTGCAGGATCATCCTCACTCACATCCTCAAGGGGCAGCTCTGAACTTGGGCCTGGAGCTTCTGGGCTTTTACCTTATTCCTGAGAACACGATCGCTCCCACCCCAACCCCAAAATGTCCTCATGTTTATTTCCCTATACCTGAGCCCATCTTGTTGATCTGAATAGAACCCCCGGCTCCCTAGGACAGAGCCTGCCTGTCCTGCCAGGCCTTCTCCCAGGACCTGAAACCCAGCCTCTGACCCCCAGACACAGGGGCTTGCTGCTGGCAGAGTCCTCAATGGTGAGGGCCTCCCTGTCTGCTTGGGCCTTCCAACAACACACGCTCCTGGGCTCACTGTTGCCGGGTTTGGCTCAGCTGAAGGGCTAAATGCTCCATTATTTGCTCTTCACCCCCCACTCTGCCCAGAATCCCAGTCGTCATCGGTAGCATCCCTGCTGGACTCTTCATTCCTGATCAGCAAGACTCCCTGCGCCTGCAAGGGGCTCACCCCCCACACACCCGCTCCATTCCATTTGGCAGGACCCTCCTCGAGGGTCACGGAATGGGCTCTGCCTGGCTGTGTTCCAAGTCCCAAAACCCTGCATAAGAACTTGCAATGACTGTCATTGTGCTTTCTTTAGAAAAAAATTCTGAAAGTTGTTATTTTGTTTCCCTGAATTACTGCAGATGCAGCTATAATAAAGGCTAAACCACCAAAACCCCCTCCCTCTGGATCTGAAATGGTTTCAGGGAACTATTTATTGTTGAAACCAGAAAGAGACTAGTTTCTTTAGTTTTCTAACATGTTTAATACATTAATCACCGTGGCACATTGTTTCTTCATTGTACTCAACCAACTCTTATTGAGCATTGAAACATGCAGTGCATAATCCTAAGCAGTGAGGTTACACTGCAGTAAAATAGTCACTGACATACAGAAGTTTGTTGTCCAGTGGAAAATGCAGAATACAATGCATTTAGATAATAATAACCAAAATCATCATGCCTAGTTTTACTCATTTACTGAATGAGTAAGAAAGCCAAGTGTGCTATGGGAGGGTTGTTCAGAAATAAAAGGGATCATTGTGGTCTGATAGTCAGAGAAGGCTTCCTGGAGGAGGTAAGATTTGAATCGGGTCTTTCAAGGATGAAAACTAGAGCAAAGCAAGGATGGGGGCAAGATGGGAAGGGGAGAGGAGCTGTGCAGATTTCAGGCAGAAGAAAACAGCAGAGAGCCAAGGTGGAACATACCAGGTGTGTCCAGCGGACAATGAGTAGATGGGTTTTGTGGGAGTAAAGGGCTTACTTAGAATGCTAGGGACAGACTCAGGCCAGGATCAGATTTGGAGGGCCTCGATATCATTCCAAGAGTTAAAATCTACTTTGTAAACAATAAGGAGCCTTGCATGTTAAAGTTAGGAGCAGCACATGCCACCGGTTAAGAGCCAACAGAAGATGCCTACCTGTGCGCAGTAGCATTTGATACGAGCTCTGTTTTTGGAGCAGGGACCCCAGCAAAGGAGAAATTTGCACAATGAAGACATTATCATTAATACATATGGAGTGACTTAGAATACTTTTTGTATACGTGGAATCTCTGGAGGATTGCAAATCTGCCAAATCATTGAGGGCAGGTTTTATTGTTTTTAATTTATTTGTGAGACCTCAGGAAGATGACTAATTTATTCAGGATCATACATCCAGAAAGAATCCTCCCCATCTTCAAATTCACATTCTTTCTCAGAGGTATATTTACATACTGAGAGCTAGTGGCAACCCAACCCATCTAATCAGCTCCCATCCATGCATATTAACTCCACAATTCTTAGAGACATCTTTTTCTTCTTCTGAAATTCTAAAACGGGGAACGCCTGTTTCCTTCTAGCCCAGAGTATTATTTGGGCTTCAGCTTTGAAAGAAGACTGTGGAGCCAAGGGATTTCAGCAAATAATTACATTATATCCACAGGGGCCCTGACAAAATCAGAAGCAGCAACCACTACTCTCTGCAAAAGTCCCGTAGGAAGCACATGCATGGTCAGGCTGGCCTGGGTAGCTACAAAAACAATGAAGCATGTGAGGTCTCATCCTAGGAGCCCCGCTCCAGACAAACCCCTGCTGCCCTCAGTGAGAGACTGAACATGCAAACAGCTATGGCCATAACATGTATGAAAACGGAACTCTGGCCCACAACCTGCAGCAACCAGCCCAGGAAAGCAACCCATCATCCACAGTAACCAGCCTAGGAAGCCAGCCTGCATTAAGTCAGACTTTGTGGGAAGTCAGACTGCTATCTCTAGTAACAATCCAGCAAGCAAACAATAACCCCCGTAACAATCAGACCCAAATGGCCAGGACTTGATTAATAACTGACAGCTTTCTTAATTTTTGTCCAAACTCCCAATTTAGGACTAACCAGAGAAAGCCAAATATGCCCCCCTCACCAATCGCATAGGATGCCCCACTTCTGGTTAGCTGCCTACAGCCATGCCAACAGCCTCCAGTCCCGGCACACCTGAAGCCCTCCCTTTTCCCACTATAAAG